TCAAGAAATAGATTTCCCTAAAGATTAGCTCCCAGCCTCAATGGCCTTTCAGTGACTAAGTAACAAAAGTTATACGGTTGATCTTCGAAGACAGGGACCTCTTCCAATTAAGGACCAGGGCAATTCCCATTTGATTTCCAATTCAAGACAACTGAATAGCTGGTTCATACAGGAATCGGACAGTTATTAATGTGCTGGTTCGGACTTGGGATGTCATATTGTTCAACATCTTTACTAAGCCCTTGGAATATGTGGGATTTTCCGTATTTCTCGGAGATGTTCAAATCCCCAAAGATTCTTTGGGAGTGATATTATATCTGGAGGAATAAAATCGTAGACGATCCAGAGCCATGTAATGATCCACGCAATAGAGGTCATCTTCTGAAAATCTGGAAGACAATGCTTCGATTGACTTTCTTAGGAGCAGCCAGTCCTTGGGACGATCTCTTCTGGGGAGCTTCATTCTGCATTACGAGTTGTGTGTCAATACATAGCGCTTCGGAGTAAAGTGCAAAGGCTTAGAGTTGTCCAGAAATCGCTGCTGAAGGAATATAGTGCCAGTGGACCAATTATTACCACCGCTGGTGGTAAAATAATGTAGAGATACAATGATTAGTTCGGGGGCACATCGTGGTCTAAGGGCCGTGGAAAATGCATAATTTCGAATGGTAGCTCTTAAGGGACCCAACCTCTCAGGTTTCTGTGTGCAGCCATAGGTTAACCATTTTTGATTGATATTGGCTAGTAAGCACAACACTGCTGGTTAGACCTATTAGTAGAGCACGCCAGAGGCCTCAGATGCCCCATTTCTCACGACAAGATAACGCAGAGAACTATGGCACCTCTGTTTTATATACTTCTGAGATACAAAGGCCGGAGGATGCCTTTAAATAGCGCAACGGAGGGACTTCCTGTAAACTGGATTGGGACACTAAGTCGAAGGTACACCTCAGTTGAGGTGACTAGATGATGTCAGGCCTTCAGTAAAGAACTCTACCAAATGAACGACCAGAGAGTATTTAATATCCGAATTTAGGTCTGCGTTCATGTATGTGCAAGTGGCTGAACAACACCTGGGAATTTTTCGGCGACAATCATAGGTGATAACAGTCGTTAGCCGTTCGTGACAGAATCTGGTGAACTGTCTGTCATCACAAAGCAGGTTTTCAATCAACCACACACACACACACACACACACACGCACACACACACACAGAGGGCGACTACACTCTCACCCCACATTGGTGTCTGTGGGTTTCGAAAAGTGTGTTGGTGTTAATGGAAATAACTCCTCTGATGAAGTGATGAGATCGGTGAGGCTTGAATGAACCTTGCTTACGCGAAACGACCTGCGCAAGGATTGGTTGAGGTTTCTCTTGGGTCAATTTTCAAGATGTCCAAGTGCTTGACAAGACATTTCAGGGACTGGTCAGACATGTTTGCTAGCTTTCCGGCTTATCTCGGATTTATCCACAAATATTAGTTTGCCTTGTCTCGTAATCGAGCAGCGAGTCGAAAATTTTCGACGCCTTTACGTTCATCCAACTGCGCTGGTGTTCATGTGGGATTCGGGTATATATAGCTTTCGTGCTACTCCAAGATCCACTGAATCGCAGTTACGTCGAATTTGATGTACACGTAAGAAATAGGGTGATTCGAAAGTCGATAAGTTTCCTTACCTGATGATATCCATAGGGCTGTGGTTTTCTAGTAGCGGGACGTATCAGGCACAAGAGATTCCGCCAGGTTTCTTGGACTTAATGGAGAGTCATGAGCTGGCATTAAAGACTGGAGGTCACTCAAGTGGGTTTTAGAACAAATGGGAAATAAATATGTCATTTGACATAGTCTTAAAAACTACTCATTTTAATGTACGCTTCGTTCAGGGCATTTGTACGGTGATGTAACTGTGTTGGCACATATTACTTTTTGTAATACTACACCAGTTGTGAGTACCTGGTATTGCTTAACTGGTGGTTCAGTGCAAACTGAAAGCCTAGCACAACGAGGGTAAAGCATTTCATAAAGGAAACTACTCACAAGGTTGCTGAAAACTCTTCGACAGCTCACGACCGGTTTTTCCCCTGTTGGGGTTCATCAGAATAAAACTTTACACTCGTTTGCAAATCAATTTGGTTTTCGCGGGAGACTTAATTGAATCTCTCGTTTATGATATTCTACAAGTGAATGTGCCGCACACAGGCCAAACTGATTTGCAAATGAGTGTATTTCTCGAAAACAGTCCAATTCGGATTCAAGTAGAATATAAGGATGATGGAAACTCGGAGAGTGCGCCTATCTGATGAGCCCCAAGAAGGGCGAAACCAGCCGTGGGCTGTCGAAAAGTTTTCAGCAACCTTGTGAGTAGTTTCCTTTATGAGAATAAGACTTTGTTTTCTGGTCACTGTTAAGCCACACGTAGATGTTAGCCATTGACAGCTCAGTCAAGTGAATAAGCTTTCAGTTGGGTTGCTGCGTTGTTCACTGAGCAGAACAAATTGGATGCAGAGAACAAACCAACGAACATTTACGCCAACTGAGGTACCAACACTCTCCTCAACTGCAAGTGTCAATATTTTATGAAGATTATGGGGCTCTGCGGAACTACTCATTCTCCTTCAGTTTGGAAGGCTCCTATTCAAGTTTCCTGGTACATTTATGGAAACTGGGGTTTCCTTGCACTAACCATCTTTTGGATCCGTTGAGCCCTTCGTTGTTAATTCATTAATTTGAACTATGGGTCATTGCTGACAAATGCAGGCACATTTGCAATCCTTTTATGAAGCACAACCACGGGACCCGGCATGAGAGCATTCAGTTCCACAGAACATCTAACCGCGAGAAACATCACTGTCGCAAGTTGTGTGTCGTTGCGGGATTTGTAGAATTGACTGGACATCACTCCGCTTTAATGAACATTCCCTCATAGAGTAGATATTCTGATGAGTCCTCTCCAGATAGGCTTATTCTTGTTTAAGTTAATCAGTAGTCTGCATCTTTAATCGTACCAGCATTTGTACCCTCAGCGACTGGTGTGTGAAGCCACTTTCTTTTATTATTATACTGAGGGTTATCAGCACTACTTTAGCAGCAACAAGGCACAGTAAGCTCTTAACCAACAGTTGTCATCTGTTTGCTTATCGTGTGGTTGCAGTCTTTTAGTCTGATTAGCTTTCGCTCTGAGGTGGCCGTCTTGTAACGGATGGTCCGGGTCCGGATTGTGCACTGCATCGTTATTTTCCTAACGGTATGTAAAGTGGCTTAGGACTTGTATAAATATCTAAACAGATCAATTCTGTACTGTGGTAGACGAGAATCCAAAAGTGACTCGAAGTGGGCGAGCAAGTAGGTTTTTACAACTGTCGTTGGCAACATGTTCCACGCGGTAATTACGCGGACTAACGAGAAATATTTCGGCTAATCTTGGACGGAAGACAATACTAAGAAGCTCACGAAACGTCACGTCCTTCCTGTGTCTCATCAGGTAAGCGCATTTCCGGACTTTCCATCAATCGTGTGTTCAACGTGGACCCAAGTCGAATACGACTCGCAAAATACACTCACTTGCAAATTGATTTAGTTCCAACTGGACAATCAACTAAATCGTATCTGAATCTCTCGTTTGTGATGCTCGTCAACTGGATATGCTGCTGCCTCATGTTTTTATTGGAGGCATAATGGAGATATGGGAGTATTCTTCCGGACCCATCACTGCTCATCACCTAAAATTTGGCGGTCGAATTGGAACAAACCTCCCTGACGATCACATGGACGGCCAAATCGACAGCAGGTTGTCGAATAGTTTCCATCCAACATTGTGGAATATAGGCGGCTCGGGTACACTGATTGGTTGCTGGTCCGTTTGTTCGAATTGGTAGTTGGATTGTAAAAGTTTCATCACCGGTCGGGGTAACACCGTCAGTGCGGGGTTGAGTGGGTGAACTTCTCCCCTTCTTCCTGTGCTTATGTAGCTTCCAAACAGCATCTGGTATCTCTGAAGGCGGTCTTCGCGTAATCTGATTGGTTCTCTGTGAATCTGAGTTGGTTTCGTTGTGCGCATTCACTTTGACAGCTTGGTATGTGTGATACGGTCGTTTTCTTCTTACTTTGTGGTTTGAATTCGCTCCCTTGAGTGGTGAATTCAGTAGTCTTCTGTTTTTAGTGGTCTTCTTCCATTGATCCCATTAGTCCGTTGGTTGTTGTTAGGTTTTTTTATTTCCAATGTGACTCAGAGCCCCGTGACTGTGTTGTTCTTTTGATCGTAACGGTTGATAGACTGGATCAACGTCGATGTGTTAAATGATCAACTTTTGAGTGTAGTACCACGCCTCGGCAAACTCCCGCTCCCGTTTTGTTATTGCGTGAGCAAGTATTTGAACATTGTCCCAATCGAACTTGTATCCCTCTATGCCTTCGTGGATTGGGACAAGTGACATTTTATTGTAACGGATGTCTTGCATTGGTTTAATGATGTGCAGAATTTTTCCCGCTTGTTTTCAGCTGAGTTTTTAAAAAAACAGGATGAAAATTAGTAAAAGAATGTATTCTCCAAATTGGTATCTGATGGGAGACGGGCTCACCTGTATTAATGGTTGTAGTAAATACACAAATGAAGCTACATACTTGCGTACAACAGCAACTGCCAACTAGAAGGCTTTTCCACTGAATGCGGTATACAACTGGCTATCTAAATGTAGACAGGAATCATTGCATGGGGTAAAAGCATGATTTGAATGTCCGAATCATTCATAGACGTTTCACTGAACCATACGGTTGTCCTACCCAGGATAGGCCAAAAGCTAGAGCTAAAGTGACATCTTCTGTGACGCGTTCGACTTTGAGATAAAGGTTCTTGTTAAAAGTGGCTCAAAGAGACCAGATAGAAATGTTCCATTCTGAGGAACGATCGTTTCCGATGGTTTATTTTGCAAAGTAGAACAATTTTATATTTTGGTTAGTGTTGTGTGAATTTTTGAAATTTTGAACTTCCCTTTTTTCAGATAAATTGGAGAATACTGTTAAGAGAATATCCGCCAAATATTCAAAGCCAACTATGCATCAGTCCCAAGTGGAGGACAAAACAGGAAGCTGGACATTATTTCTGTGGACGACAATATTACTGACTGGGTTACTTGCTGTCATCCTTATTTCATGGCTCTTAGTTTGGGCTGGCAAGTCCAGAAGGAAAAGCAGCTATTCCCAAATAACCAAACCAAAATCGCGTTGGGATTCAGTTTTGCATACCAATCAAAGCAGCCGACCACTGTTTGCTTCAGCCACAAAAAAACAAACCGATTTTGAAAGAGGTTTCAACAGTCCATCAACGACACATGCTCAAACTGCTTCTTTACTGGAACGGCTGAGGACAATTGACATTGAGATGTCCTTGAGGAGTAAGAAGTTCCAATCCGGCAGAAGTAACTTGGTCCTACCACCGTCTTTGAAGCACAAAAATACAGCCTCAATAAACCATACTGAAGGCGCATTTTGTAGCTGTGACTTTAGTACGTCCGAAAGGGCGTGCTCGTGCTATCTCAGCACACCACAACTTTGTACACAACCATCATTACAAGCGCCGGGGACGAAACCTTACGGACGATGCCTGTCATTAACCATGTCCAGCAAACCGCACTTAGGTTTCTTGCCACCTTCAAACTTTTATAAAGCTGATGTTTCCAGCTTACCGCCTGATGTCACAAAAAGGCGGAGATGCCTTCGGAGTTTGAGCGATGCGAGTGATAACTGGATCCAGTACATAAACCACAGAGCAGAACAAGGCAGCATATCATTTTCCCTGTCTTACAGCTGCACCATCGAAGTACTTCAGATAACAATCAATAGATTGATCGGAATGCGTCCGATAAGTATTGCTGATCAATCTTTAATGCGTCAAAAGGAAGCAGCTTATAAAGTTTTCGTTAAGCTTAGAAACAGACAGCTTACTTCGGAAGATCAGCGATATGTTGAACGAAGGTCATCTTTGGTAACGCAGCCGGCTTTTGGTATCCTGAACCCAGTGTTTGATCAAACTTTAACATTTGATTTGAAAGTGAAGGACATCGACGTTCACGAAATTGTTTTTACCATCCATCGCATACTGGTGCAGGAAGGAGAGCTTGGAAAAATGGTTTGCAGAAAAAGTCGCTCATTCAGTCTTCATTCAACATCTGAACGATATTCTTTATCAAACTTGCTTCTGCCTTTGAAGCATCTGTGTATTGGTGTGGTGCATTACCGACTCAATAGCTACGTGCTCATTAACAAAGCAGATACCATGAAAGATATCTGGCAGAGTATCCAGCGTCCAACAGAATTAGACGAGATATCCTCCGATGATGCTCAGCTCACGAGAAAATCGAACACGGACTGGGTAGAACAGAAGACACGACTGAAGTCCAAATCCCCCAATGTAAGTTGGGCATTGCTTGGCACCTACTGATTCAAACAACTAGTTTATTGATCATCTCCACTCAGTAGCATAACTTAGAGCTACAGTAATTTAAAACTTATAGTCATGTCATTTCAACAGTGCTGCAAATATCTTCATGAGCGTTACGCGTTTTCACAAGTCTAACAGGCTTTAGAAACAGAAAACTGATATGGGTGAATGAAGCCTTGCCCACCATCTTTATCAGTAGAAAACCTCATTTTATTGTAAGCCAAAACACATCTACTGCCGGCGAATATACTAAACCAAACTCTATAAAAATGTCTCGGTTACGTGCTTGAGCTTTTCGTTGAGATTGACGATTTCCCATTCAAATATCATCCCACAGATCTATCCCGAATAGATCGGGAAGCGTTGAGAATCACCAACAATGCTCATCTCGCGAATCTTTGGGGTAATGGTGACCTTGATCTTCTGTTCACTAATTCGACACAATGCTAGCACTGGCTAATTAGCAAGGTGACTGAACTGTAGCCGAACAGGATAGAGCACCGTCTTTTTTCAGTCGTGAATCTCACGTTAAATGGTCTGGTCCTGACTATCTACTCCACTGACCGATTTATTTGATAGATTTATTGGCCTCGTGGGATGTTTTGCTTTCCAATAAGACTACCGGGAGTTTTGCAATCATCAGTGCGTCGTGGATGAAATGCTGCATAGTTTATGCAGCCTTAGCTACTGATATTCTCCTCTATACAGTAGCATCATACTGAGGATAATAGTATGACAAACAAACAAATCAACGAGGCTACTGGGTGTTGAACACATCATCCAGAATTGACTCATTTACGAAATAGTTTTCAAAGATCAATTGTGGCTTTCTTAACTGAGTGGGAGTTGGTTTAAATGTATTCCTTAAAATACCCTGTTGCAAGTAACAAGGTACAAATTTAAGGAGACCGATGGTTCGCTTAAAGATGTGCTCGACTATGTATGAGATATCAGTGAGGTACGGAATCACCAGGTCGTGAGTAAACGTAAAATACTGGTAAAACTATGTTTTCTCTTCATTATACCTTGGACACTTGAATCGGGTGACCTTCGGGAACAGAAACACATCTCTGGGTAAGACAGACATGTATTACTGACAGAGGCCTGCTTTTTTCTGTTTATTTCTTTCTCGACCAGAATGTGAAAAGAAACTGGTCCTTGTCACTACTAAGCGATAGTATCTTTGGTGGTATAATTTCAAAAATAGTTAAAAGAAACCGACCGATATCAGCTGATAAATCCAGAGTAAAACGATTTCGTCTCCAACTAATGGAGAGGTACCAAAGATATGATCTCGAAATTTATCGGAAATACTGAATTCGACCTATGCTGCAGAGATGAGAAGCGTTTCACGGCTGTTGTATCCTTACTAGCTATTCCCGGGAAACTCAAGATGATTCTCATCCGTAAAGCTCCCCTAAACGGCTAAATACAGCATCAGCTAGATACAGATAGCTGATCAGGAGTGTGGTTGAGCGAACCTTGCTAGGCGTTGGCACCATTCGTCATTCAGCTGTGCAGATGTAGGTCATATCATTCAGTTTGATCTATATGATTTGGCACAGTGCCCTCCTTTCCCTTCATATTGCTTTTACTTTTGAATACATCACGAGATTTTAAGTCAGAGTGCTACTCAGCCTTATGGTTAGCTCAACAATGGAAACTCCAATGTCTTTTAGTTATTGTCATGGTCTTTTATATAATCAATTTGCTCTATAACTTTTTTTATTCACCAGACGTCTGAACACATCACATCCAATGGCGAAGGCGCAGAGAAGCCAGCAATGGAGATATCTATTTTCTACAGTTCAGTAGATTCAATTATAGCTGTTTGTTTGGGCAATGCAAAAGGACTCAAGTTCCGCCCAAGTGACGGTAGGTTTTTTTCTAATGGTCAGCTATAGTTTTCAACAAGCGGGGTTTCTGAATTATTTCATTTGAATCAACTGTTCTCATGCTTCATATTCCAATGATTAGATTTATACACAATCGGTTGCTTAAGACCGATCAGGAAAAATTACCTTCGCCGGAGATTATGAAGACCTTACGGCACTCTACAGACTTTACCTGCAAACTGGTTTACGAACATTAAAAAAACAAAGCATAAAGACAACCTTGAACGCTGCACATAGTGGCGTTTCATAGAGTGACATTTGTTCCACGGTTCGGATGGCGTCACTGTCCCCTTCAGGTTCCTTTGCCTTGGTTTCAGGCTAAGATAGAACCACTTAAAAACCACGAGGTAGCCGCAGCAAATATAAAGACATGATTTTGCCATAGCGCCGTGGGCGCGGTCTTTTACACGACAATTAGATTTAATATTTGGTGTGGACATTACACTTCCCAACATCCTAATGACGTCAAGTCTCAACGCTGAGAGGTCTAAACTTAGCCGTACGTTCGACTGAGCAAGAACAATACGGTATATTGACAAACGTTTCGAAACGGCCACTGATAATTCTCAATGGAGCTTCCCTGTTTTAAGTGAAACCACTCTATGCTCAAATACCAAGAGGTACTGTACTGCTGTTTCACCATCATCAGTGGTCATCTCAGAGGGCTGTAATTTTCCCCATGTCTTTGAAGTGCACAAACCACAGATTGTTAAGTACTGATTAGTAATACCTAAGTCCTGGACTTTAACGTTTCTTTGTCCAATCATACACTTTGCTTCCTGCTGATCTGAAAACAGCTGCTCATCACACGGCGTCGAAGATTTTAACAAACCATGTGCGGATTTAAGGAAACACTAGAAACGCATGTTACCCATGACTTGATGTGGCGTTTACTGCTACCAGTGATGTTTCAGTCTATTTTGTTGCGTCCCACAGCTGTCATTGGAATATTTACTGTAGTAAATAGACGGAAAACTCAGGTTTGGATCGCTTGGTATTCCTACACCTAATGAAGATCCAGCAGCACAACGTGTCACATGGTGGTGAAAGGAAGAAGGCCTTCGCTGCGGAGTTATTTATTAGGAAATTCCAACTGACCGGTTGCAGACCATTTGACAGGGAAGCAAAATTCTCATTTGCATCTTATTTACAAAAACTGGACATCCATCTTCTCCTGAACGCATCTTCTTGGACTTTCCTGGGTATTCATTGACTCCAATCATTCATCGCTCAAATCCAAGCAAATGTTACAAAGCGACTCCACAAATTCCGCAACAGATCTCCCCTTTTCAAAAGACGCAGAGCGAAATTCCACGAACAACACATACTACTCGCGTGCTTCCCCATCAGTAGCATCACCGTTACACGTTACTGTAGTAAATAGACGAAAAACTCACGTTTGAATCGCTTGGTATTCCTACACCTAATGAAGTTCCAGCAGCACAACGTGTCATGTGGTGGTAGTTGAGGGGATTTGAGAATTTCGATGGAATTTTCGTCCTATAATTGAAGTCGATTTATGGTGAAAAGCCGAGGATTAGTTTACGGCTGTTTTCCTTCTTATTGGGAACCATCATCATTGTGCATTGCATGAAACCCTAGGGAGTCTCGATTTCGCAACCTGTTGGCTAGCAGTTTGAACACTTAACCGTTCGGCCATGAGCTATTAATCAGCAGCGTGGCTAGCTCACATTTAGCAGGATATATAGGCGTATCCTTAGTTTTTCTCGCTTTACCGTAGTCCTCTGTGTTAAGCCATATCGCTCATGTGGGATCTGCATTGAGCCACAGAAGGACCGATGTGTTCTGTGAGGAAAGCCGGGCTCATGTTGAGAAATGCAGTAAGGTGGCCGCTCAGTATTCGCACAATGGAATTGATTTCTCGAAAGCTACGACATTTTCAGGGTTGCCACTTTATAGTGTAGCAGCTTTAAAACTCGTACCCACAGGCCTAATACTATGTGCTATAAAGAACTTACCCAAAACGGTTTGTTGCATGCGTTCCGTTCTCATTTACTGCATTTGGAAAACGTCGGAACAACGCTGTTTGCTGCTATCGGGAAAAGCGTATGTGGCTACAATGACCTTCCTCTGACTGCCACACAGGCACGCGTCCGGCCTCCAGGATTTCTGCCAACATCAAAGACATATAATCTACCACAATAAGACCCAACTATGCGGTACCGACTGAACAGAGACGGTCTACACTTCCGGAGGTAGTTGTATACACCTTGAGTTGTAAGGATCTTGCCGAATGCATCGACCACAAACTACCGCACCTCACTCGACGGCGTTCTATGTTTCAGAAGGGCTCTGCAGGTATCCCAGCTCGTCTTCGGTTAGCCGACCGTACAAAAACTTTGACAACTTATGGTTGTGTTCCAGAGAATAAGAGGTGGGTGCGAGGTCGTTCCTTTGCTTCCATAGACAAGACCGAACTGGACAGCCGGTGCTACGCGTAGTGTTTCCTATTGGAAAACGCGCCCAGCTTACTAGTTTATTTGGATTCTCCGATTTCCGTGTGCCCTGGAGGTCTCCAGCTGCATTTGCAGTACACCCATTCGTAACAAAAAACAGCGTTATTGCTTCGATAAATGAATGAACGCACGAATAACACATAGCCATCCTTCATGTATTGATTTAAGGCCTTCTCAATTGCTGTGAAAGACGAAATAGATACAGCCCCTAATTTCTCAACAAACGCGTATGAAGCCACAACACAGCAAAGTTGAATGTGCGCTAAAATTTCAAAATGGAATTAATTAAAACAAATCGCAAAAATGACGCCAAATAAGGGTGATTTTTGTTCTCATCACACATGTTAAAAATGCAGCGATTTGACGTTAAAGGTTTTATTTTACTCGCAAGGGTCTTGCACAAAAATGCATTGCGCATCCAAGGCGCGGCAGTAAGGTGCTGAGAGCACTTGCAAAACACAAGTACCGCGTCTATGTAGGAGTGGCCATGTGTATGTGAAAACATATTGACGGGAATTAACGCAACGATGCGCAACAGAGACAGTTCTCTAGAAACACTCTCTTGTAGGACCAGTTATTCAGATGCCTTAAGAGAAATCACGACTTCCGAGACTACGTATGCCTGATGATACCTATGTTTTCCAACCTGAATAAGAACTGAGGAATAAAGGGGCTCTCAGCATAGATGATTTAGATTTTCTTTGGTTGACTTACATACCAGTGAAATGAAGAGAACCTTTGCTGTGATTGTTGGAAATCACCAACTGAACAGATACAGACTATTGGACAGGGAAGCAAAACTCTCGAATGCATCTTGTTTATAAAAACTGTGTATCCGTCTTCTACTCGAACAGAACTTTCTGAACTTTCCTGGATACTCACTGACTATCACTCAAACTTGAACGAATGCTACAGAGCGCTTCCACAAATTCCGCTATAAATCTCACTTTTCAACAGATGCGAAGCGGACTTATGAGAAAACCACATACTACTCGCATGCTTTACCGGTAGCATCCACCGTTATACCAGTAATCCTTCACACACAAGACGGTGATCAGATTCAGTTTGTACCTGAGGCGTTTCTACACATTATGACTGTATTCCACATACAGTCTACATACATACATAAATACATATTGTATTCCACGTATCAGCAGTGTCAGCCAGTGTTGAACCGAACAAGCTCCATTGTTCGTCTGATGGCCTAGCAATCTTTGGTATACAGAAGTGAATGACCCTGGGGATTACTGATTGTGGTACCATAGACGGCTTATGGCACTATCAGGTCGTACATTGATAACTAAATGCATGTCGGCAAATTCGTCAATTGGTGACAGTAAACTGGGGAACAGGGATCCCTCATCCTGCTCTAAGTGACCCTCTTAGTAACTACTTTTTTTGTAGAAAGAAATGCATAGACAGAGGTTGTTCTGAATACATTTTCGTCAGGGTAACCTTCCCCCTACGACTGCACTATTACCTAGAAGTAGATGAATTTCTTTTAATGGGCCCTTAACTAAATACTGAACATTCGTTTTCCTTAATCCTCCACCGTGTAATTTGACTGATAATTTTGATTCATTTACTTATTCAATCAGTTTCAGCATTTGTGAGGACGGTGTTGTACAAAGGCGAAAAGATCCTGGCTACTTTCCGAAGCCAACCCCTTCCTATTCCGGACTTATTAAACCAGATGCGCCCGACAACCGGTGTCAGTGAAGGTACTTCGACGCAGTTGCGATCATCGAAATCGCTGTCCCCACACAATGAAATCGCTCGTTTCCAAGTCAAGCTGACTCGAATATTGAACAGGGATACATTGGGCTTGGTCATCTACCTTTGTACCCGCGGTCGATTTGGACAGTGCCGAGTAGTTGGACAGTGCGCAACTGGTGGTAGTGGCTTTCTTAGGAGTGAATCCACACAGCAGTGGCAACTGCTTGTCGAATCCATACGCCGTAGCGATCGAAAAGAAACGGGCGAAAAGTACTCAACAGAGCCCATTAGTGTTTGGCACACGCTATCTTGATCTGTTCTTCCAAACAGCCCAACTTTAATAGAAAATGTCAATCACCATAGAAATGGTAATCATCCCGAGATTTTCCACACAAAAAATCAATAGTTTTGGTTTTAAACAGGGTCACTATGGAAGTAATCAATCTTTGCTGTTGTATTTTGCTGTCGATGCTTTATGTCCCGTGTGTAATCTGTGAGGGTGTTTTCAAAGAAAACGTTCGAATGTCTCAGCTGTCCTTTCTCTCGAAAATGTGAATTAAACATGAAGTTTGTTACTTTGTCGTGACTAACAGCCACGTGAGATCTCATATTTGTATTCTATTATCAGTGGGAAACTTAACAGTTTGCCGTTATTCTGTAAAACATTTTAGTTCATATGAATTCCTGTTGCAAATACATGTGTAAAACAAATTTGGACCAATAAAAATGTTGTCAAAAAGTTCCTGTAGATGGTACCGATGGCAGCTTCTGTTTTAATGGTTATATTTAGCGATCCAATACCAATGTTAAAAAAACGCCAAAAATTCCTTGAGCCTGTATTTTGCTTTACAGCAGTTATATTAGATGAATCACTAGGCAGTGGTACCATAAAGTGATTTGGGGTCAGAATAAACCAGACTAACTTTTGTAAGCTACTCGCGGTTCATACAAGGATGATACTATGTATCCAAAGGCGATTTTTTTCTTCATAATGAGAAAACACTGATAAAAAGCTGCAAATGCCCATAAATTTTCAAGGATGTGTCTCTGGTTGCGAAAATCTTTCAACAAGGTCCTCTTGCAGTAAAGGATTTGTTGAAGCTGATGCACCTTAACCACACTGAACAAGAGCAATAGGCGTTTGTCAGCATATTTATGACATTGCCAATTCAACGCCATCCAGATTAAGACACTTGCATTGCTATGAAAATATTGCACTTCTACTTATTCCGCCAGTCAATATGCTCTCACTGAAGAATTCTAGATATTAGTGGACGTTTTTAAGTCCTTATGTAAAGTTATAAACTCGTGGGCAAATTACTTTGATGTTTAAAGTCGGTTACGTACACATTAGTGTTGAAATAAGTGATGAGATCGGTGAAAATCCGCTGTCTTCGCCCATTTGATGAGCTAAAGGAAGAGTGAAACCGTAGCGGGATGTCGAAGAGCTTTTATCATCCAAATGAGGACCCTTAAGTCAGACCCTGAAGCAGTATAGTTACCATAGCTGGATGAATTATGTGGCTCCGTCTTCAAGTGCCCACTTTCATTTAAGAAGCTACTTCCTTGCTCCTATGTCTTCTCTTTGTCCTGCATTTACAGCAGTTCCGCTGTGTTCATACACTGCTTTGTGAGTATACACCAAAACTGTCGCTACCCACTCCCTCAAATGAACTCTAGTGTAGGGAAGTTGGCGTTTCAAAAAGCGTATTTTCGCTTGGAAACGGAAATGCATGGACGACAGATAACCCCGACTATAGGGTTTGCCATTCAAGAAGATTAATTTGGTTGTCAAGGCCAGGATACTCTGCATTCCCGCACTTACCTTTTAGGGACAGGGTTTAGGGAAGTACTACTCATCGTAGATCGACTGTACTGAGTCTAATGAACCTAAACAACTTGGGCGCTGCTAGTCGCTGGCTGACTGAATTAGCGCTCCGTCCTTCACAGCAAGTGTGATATTCGACGCTCAGACACAAAAATGAATGACCAAAAACATCGACCATATCTCGCCATTGTTTTGCACAGTCAAACTGAAATCAGATTGCTAGAAATAACAACACATAGGTAAAGAAGACTGTTTGTGAAGTTTTTTTTGAACAGGCTGTCTTGGAGCTGGACTCCAGAAACCTCGTTTCATGCTGACCACAACCAACTCTGACCAACCAGCTCTGCTCTCCTAACATCGCCTCGATATTAAGCGTTGCTTTCCATATAGACCGTTTAAAAATGGAAATTTGAAAGATGATCTTTCCAACTTACACTAACGCCGCATGTCATCAAGCAAACAAGAGTACCGTTGTGTTCTCGTTGATAAAGTGACGACGGTGTCGATTGTTATTAACACTTTTCCCTGGTCAACGGTCACTTTGGAGTGGGTGGTGGATAGGCTTGTGTTTATTAAAGTCAGCAAACACCTGAAGATTATTGTTGACATGATAAGCGTCTACCCACACAGGAGTCAATCCAAAGTTGATTGCGGGGGTGTGATGGTTTTTTTCTTCCTGACTTATTGGAAAAAAACGGGCGTTTTAACGGCTTATTTATTAAGTAAACGATCCAGCCGTTTTCCTAACAGGGGTGATATGTCTCAGCAACAAATATCCATAGGCTGGTAACTTTAACCAACCATAAAATACGTACTAGAAAATCCGTCATGTATCACAACTCAGGCATTCGTCTTGAAAATGTTTATTAGCATAAACACTCACAGTCGAAAAACTGATGTTTATATACCACAGTATTTTACTGATCTGTAACCCACACATCTTTCGCTAGTACTCAACAACAAGTTGCGAATGACCGAGTGATGAAAGGTTCCGTATCTATTTAACTGAATTGTCCTCAAAGTTGGATTATGGATTTAAAAGAAGGTGTCTGGCTTACAATTCTTTTAGATCAGTTTAAAAAGATTACCAAAAGAATGAAATAAATATAACAAGTTGCGAAATGCTGGTTAGGCTGTTTGTCACCTAGTTAAAAACCAGGTTCACTAGGATTGATTTTCACATCTTGTTGTTTCAGTCGATTGATCACAGGAGGGTGGGGTGGACCATACCACGATAAGCGGTGTTCTTAAATCAAACGCCCTTGAAGGCAATATTCAAGCTTGTGAATCCTGACGGATACAGCTTCTGATGTGTTGGAAACATTGTTACATAGTCTCGGTTATTGCTCCAGGATTCTCGCAAGATTAACTTGATGATCTGTCTCCAAGTTCTGTCTAAATCTGACTTCGAAGTTTTTCACAACTCTTTTCACCAACGACAGGACACGTGGCCAGAAACGTGTCTAGAAGAAGTCCTCAGCATTCAGATGATTCAGTGAACCATACAGTAGCAAATTGGTAGAGTTGTATATAGGTGAACCGATGAACTGGTTGGTCATTCAGTTGTTGCCTAGACATCTGAAGCCTGGTGAACCTAAGTTATAAATGGATCACTTTAAAAGTGTTCTCAAACATCCGTTAAGGCAGTCTGATACGACATGAGTGGACAAATCGCCCTTGGATAGCAGTCTCAACCCAGTGGCTTGGT